ATAATAATAATAATAATAATAATAATAATAATAATAATAATAATAATAATAATCATGACGATGATGATGATGACAATTATGGTAATGATAATAATACACAAACAAACAGCCATGGAAAGCGATACCGTTTCACTCGGTACAAAATAATAGTGGCACGGCAAAAAAATAAATGTTCTGATCTTAAAGACAACCATCACCTGCTCCAAAAGTCTAAGTTTCCGTCGATGTGAGTGTTCTTCAAGTCGATCCACGTATTCTCGTAACTCTTCTATCTCTTCTTTCACCTGCTGTACTGTATCTAGTTCGTGCTGCGTGGGATTGGGAAATACGCTTTAGAAAGAGGAAGTTCATTTCAAGACAGGCTAGATACAGACACTTAAACGGTACGTCGATAATGCAAAGGATCGAATAAAAATTCCGCGAAGCAATCGTCGAAGTAATGGTTTGCAGACAACTATCTTTCACGCTTCTTCGATTTTCTCGTTAACCCTAGAATGCCACGCTAGGGTACACTGTATTCCAGTCTACTTTCTCGTGTTTATATCTTTCCTAAAGAGTGACACTTAGATTCCCATCCCTGCCCAACAAAGTGTTTGTGGTATCAAGATCTCGACTGATGACAAGTCAAACCTAAAGTTGGTTGAGAAATTTCATCAGGGGTAGTTAGACACTAGTGTTTCGATTAAGTATAAACTTTATTTTGTGAATTTATAAAATTGCTTTTCCATTTTGTAACAATTATTGCTGTGTTTACTAGGTATTTGATTTTGTGATATTGTATTTTATTTACTTTATTTTATTTATTTTGATTCTTTTCAAATATTTAATTCGTTCATTTTTGTGTATTTTCGTTTATTTCAATAATTAATTTATTCCATTACATTCCATCAATTTATTACTACCACGTCTGTAATTTGTTAATTTCGTTTTTTTTTAAATATTTAATTCGTTCATTTTTGTATATTTGCGTTTATTCCAATAAATAATGTATTCCATCCATTACTTTTCTTCATTTATGTAACTTTCATTCCCATTTTAAGATTGTTATTCCAACGTAATTATTATTTTCATGTCAACCAGAGTTAATGGATAACTTCATGATGTTTTATTAAAGTGTGTAACTAATTACAATGTTATTACACTAATAACTCCATGAAACTATTGATAATATTGTATTTGGATATTGATTTTTGTATGATGATTCAAAGTAGTTAGTACTTTAGTCATGCCTAAATATAGCAGATATTATAAACCAGAATTATTTTAGCATTAATAAAAAGTAGCACTCTAATTACATTCACACCTAGTTTATCTCAGCAAAACTTCACATCCTTTGGAGTGTATCGATTGCTGAACTTATCGTTTAAGTTTCATGTTTAACAGATAGATTATTTAAGAGAAAATAAACTCAAACGATGTTTCGAACGACCACATAACTACTTAAACGCGGCTTCGTAAAAATGACTAATTTACAGTTGGCTATTCTATACATAAAAATATTCCTCTATTTTACTGTGTCTAAAAATGAAATATGGCGTTCTAGTGTCAAGAGTTCGAATTGAAATTCGCGGATCACGAATCGAGGAAGCGTTTCGTTTATTGAACGTTTCAGATACCACGATCTTATAAACAGGTCAGGACACTCCAGCCCGGAAAACGCCCTCCAACTGAAGCCAACATGACAATGTGTGTATGTACGTATGTACAATGTACTATAATAGTTTTATATTTATATTATGAAACTTTTCTTGATAAAAGTTCTATAATTCTTTTCGTCTAACTTTCATTGCAAGGTTCCCGTAAGTACAGTTTTTAAAAAAGTTCTTAACACGTTAAACGCCGCGCCCTTAATCCCTGCAGAGCAGCGTTGAACTTTTCATTTAGACTACTCCACTGTACCGATGCCTGCGTACCGTAGTTGAACATTCCCTACAACCAACAGTAGTCAATAAATAAAAAAACATAATATTTTAAGAAAAGCTCGATTTCATTTTATAAAACAATCTAGACAAAGATGGTGCTTACTTTGCAGATATTACAGGTATGTTTTGAACCACTCCAAATCTTGATTATTAAAAAACCGTGGAATTTATGTATTTGTGAAGTACACTGATATGAGAAATATACCAAAATTATACATGATGTAGAATATCAAAAATATTTTGAATTATTCTTGACTAAATCGAAAAATTAGGAAAAATATGTGCTTATTGGTTTTATTTGTTCAAATCGAATTGTTTATAGTCAGTAAAAACATGCTTTACGAGAAATATTTATAAAAAAGCAATATATTATAATTAACTACAGTGGTGCCACCTATGCCTTGACACCATTTACATTCAAAGGATGTTATTGTTCGTTAGAAACCAAACTTCTTTCATGTTCAACATTTCCATTTCCAGTATTTTTCGAGGAATTTACTTACATACCCATTTTATTCAGAAATTCGAGGGTAGTTTTCACCCCCTGAACATGAAGCATATCAATAAACTTCGAAACTTATTGTGGGGTACGTTGATATGGAAAATATACCAAAATTATACATAATGTAGAATACATATATTCATTTATAATAACATATATTGCGTTGAATATTCTATTAATTAATATACTAATATTAATACTTCATTTTGCATAAATGCATATACCTTTCCATTATGTTTAGCATATATTTGTTCCATTCTTTTCTATCATGGATGTAAAAGGTTATTTCCATAAGAGTGACGTCACGATACATATCTTGTTAAACAAAAAGTATCAGTGAAAACAATGTTAAAAAAAAAGAAATAGAAGTCTGTTTCCTTTTCTCAATCCCAAATCAACACTTTAACTACCGTCTTATTTAGACAGAGTTCCCAACTTGAAAGATTTTCTACATTAACACGTTGATGCCAAGCTAATAATCGTGAAAATGTCTATGAGGCTAAAATTTTATTTGTATACAATTAAAAATGATATAACCTAACATTTACGGTAGTATTAATTCTTCCATCCTCTTTCAAATTTACCAATCCTATCTAAATTTATTTTCTGTAACACCTCAACTTCAGAATTCATTTATTTAATACGTTAATAAAAATCCTTGTTATCCACACATGGATGACGTGACGTTCAACTCTTTGCGTGTAACTACACTAGTTTACAGCCAAAATGTACATTTAATGCGACAATTTTTTTCTTATGTATTTTGGTCTACTAAACTCGAAAATCGCAAGAAAACATTTCTCTATGGATAGGTTTCTATTATATGAATTTTTGAATTTGTTTTCGATTTCTTTCTGACATACGTTCACATTTTAAGCCATATCTCGAGTTAGAAACGT